ATATATATATATATATTTCACAGCTTTTCGTATTATGCGCTACTTTATATACAGCCTCGCAATTAACATATATAATTGATTAGCATTTTAATCTCTATTGATTCTTTAGCATAACAAAATAGACATCTGATTTAATTAAAACATATTTTCGAGATACAACATTTTATGAAACTTGTTCATTAATGATTTCATCTTACATCGTTATACACACACACACACACACACATATATATATATATAGTCTTCCAAAGAAGGCAAAATCAGAAAGTAAAACCCTAGATCCAGATAGTGACACTCCACTACAAAAACTTCCATCAGCACTTCTTTAGCCACCATTCGCACCAGCAGGGGCCACCACCATTACCACCTCGTCAATGTCGTTTTCTACAGCAGCCTTAAGTGCTTGTATATGCTTTCAAGCGACAAGATCTCACCATTGATGACTGGCCATGTTTTTGGTAAGTAAGGTCTTATTCTTTTTTTTTTTTTAGGATAATTAAAGGGATTGTTCATTTGTGTTCATGTCTTTTGCAAAAAGACATTGAAAGTTTACGAGCCCAGGAATTCCGGAGTTTCAGTTCAGGCTAAGAGAGCGTTATGAACTTAGAGAAACATATAATAAGATGAGTGATTTTAATTGAGCTAGCTTTCTCTTTTATCATCAATATATTATTATCTAGTACCACTTAACAAAAACAAATACATTAATGTTTTTAACAAGGAAAAGATTTATTGTTGTTGCGAAATTACTTTTGAATTCAATTAAAGTGTGCGCTCACAAGTGAACGATTCGTAAAAGTAATATAGTGTACCTAAATACAGATATCGTCCTAATTGAATGAGTTTTTACAAGTTAAACTAAGTACCGCAATTATAATAACTATAATTTTATCTAGGCAATCAAATTCGTATAACTGTAGTAATTAAAACAATAGAATTAAACTAACAAAGCAAGTAAAGAAGTAATTTAGAAATAAGAAAGGATCGAAGGGAACTCTGATGGTATTAAGGCGGCTAGGGGTCTGATTTCATCCTACCGTGCTATGCTAATCTGATTCTTAAGCTTGTTAACTAATTTCATTCAATTCATTAATCTTAGGTTTTCGAAAGTAATTTCACTCTCTCTCCCGAGTGCCGAGTAAAATAGTATGTAAGACCCAGTTAAACAATATCCCTATTAGCCTAACCAAATCAAGTATCCATTAAGTAACCTAATATTGATTACCCAAATTAATTGGCCTCCCGAACTCAACTAACTCTAGGCTGTGCTTTCCCAAATTCAACATGTGAAAGTAACTCTCCCGAACCTAAATCCACACATCTATATCTTTAATTCAATGGATAATTAAATTAGACAATAAGCATAGAGAAATACAAATGGATTGAAGTGAAAATACATTAACAAGCATATAGAATCTTCGTAACATAGCAACAGTAAAACTACATCAAACCCCTAGCTCTAAAGAGTTTATTTTGCAAAAAGACATTGAAAGTTTATGAGCCCAGGAATTCCGGAGTTTCAGGCTAAGAGAGCGTTATGAACTTAGAGAAACATATAATAAGATGAGTGATTTTAATTGAGCTAGCTTTCTCTTTTATCATCAATATATTATTATCTAGTACCACTTAACAAAAACAAACACATTAATGTTTTTAACAAGGAAAAGATTTATTGTTGTTGCGAAATTACTTTTGAATTCAATTAAGGTGTGCGCTCGCAAGTGAACGATTCGTAAAAGTAATATAGTGTACCGAAATACAGATATCGTCCTAAGTGAATGAATTTTTACAAGTTAAACTAAGTACCGCAATTATAATAACTATAATTTTATCTAGGCAATCAAATTCGTATAACTGTAGTAATTAAAACAATAGAATTAAACTAACAAAGCAAGTAAAGAAGTA